GGAAAACCATAAACACCTGCCTACTGGCCAACTGAACACAGCCAACCACAGTCCAACAAAACACACTCAACCACAGCCCAACAGAACACACCTGCACAGACACTGACGGTCCAGTCGTAGGCGTGGTGCTCCAGGAGAAACCACGGGTCGTGGCTGTTGAGATGTAATGTGGTGTCGCATTCGTCAATGGCTTCCGTGGCTACGTGTCTGAGTGATGTGCTCAGTGTCTCGGGCGCAATCACCTGTTGCAGCAGATGGAGGTCATGTGTCAGTGACGTCGGTACACACACAACAGTGCGTGTATGACTAACATATGCGTGTGCATAGTGCATGGTAGGTGGGGGACTACTAGTACAAAGACAAGTGCACACGGCATGTCTCTGAACGTGATTAGTGATATATTTGAGTTGTGGATGGCAAAGAATATATCAAGGATAGTTTTGCAATCAACGACAGAGGAACCAGCTTCGAGTACGAATGCAGATTAGGTAATTTCGCAGAGACGCCGACGTACACATAAATCCATATGTAATTGAACTACGATACCACCCACACGACTAACCTACACCAATCTACATCACAAACCTGATCACTCAGTTAGCACATGCACGCCAAGTGAATGGACAACCGAAGCGCACCTATAGCCAACTTTCTGCGCACACGTTCACATATGTGCACATCCCCAACTACAACGCAGACGCATGTATGAAGTACACTAACACACGTAGCACAACCATAGCTACACCGTAGCGTACTGGACACATAGCCCCACACAACACACCACCGCTCCAACAACCAACACCCATTCACATACTTCGACCTCGCGCGTGACGTTGTTGATTTGCATGAAGGCATCGACGACATCAAAGCTGGTGGTGCCCAAGACAGTCATGCCGTGGGCTTCTCCATCAAAGCTCACGTGGGCGATGTTCTCGTCATGCACTTCCCACAAATATTGTGGATCAGGAATGATCACCTCGTGGTCACGCTTGAACAAGTGGTACTGGACGTCGCCCAGCGGAAACACAATCTGCAGAGGTACAAGGCACGTGGTAAGGGGTGAGGGTGCCGAAAGGATGGGGTGGGGGGGATATTCCCAAGGATATGATGGCTATGTTTATCAAATGTCCTTTGGTGTGCATGTACACATGTATTTGTTGGCATTAGACGACCGTTTCCGGCGACCGTTTGCGTATTTGCGATGTATATATATCACAGATAGGTAGACGGGTTAACGCATGTATGCGTTGTACCTAAATGAATGTGCATATAAACATGAAAAAGAACGTAAACGTAAATGTACGCTTACACCTGTACTTAAAATTTATTTTGGTGTACGATACGCGAAAGTGTTGTCATGCATGTGGACACATTCAAAAACTTGTTAGGTAGAAATAAAGGAATATCTGCTAAAGGCTGGATTGAAACGAACGTCTACCCCACATGCAACACCAAAAGGATATGGCAGAGTAGACATACCTGTGACCGTTGTGCGTTCGAAATAGTTAGATGGACACGTTTACGTATAGAGGTTGGCAGAAAATATACTATGTGTGCAATTTGATAATAACTAAAAGCACCGGATGCAGATATACAGAAGGCCAAGTGACGTTGAGGCCACATATCCTCATCATACAATCTCATGTACAGAACACAACAAACCAAAACGCAGTCTGAACACAACAGCTAATGCTACTGAAATCAATGATATCCACAGAACCCATCTAAGATACATATACGCCTTGCGTATCGTAAAAAGACAAGGTCGACAATCGAAATGAGTTGGTCCTGCCAACCACCCCAACCAACCAAACCACAATACAAATAGAAATCAGACCCACCTGCTTGGCTTCGGGAATGACGTTGAAGGGATCAATCACAATAAAGTCCTTCTTTGCCCTGATTTGGTGCGACCCGTAGCCGTCTTCGCTGAGATAGGCTGTGACATTGACAGGACCCGTGTTCTGCCCCTGCACAAGCACTTTGCTGCTTCTGAGTCCCCGAGCCTCAGTATCCAGGATTACCTGCGAACAGATTCAAATATTATGATAAATACGTCTATAGATAAATGGTGCGATACGAGATTCATTCCAAAATCTCCGTAATCAACACAACTTGTATACCATAGAATCAATCTCATTAAAATATATAAATATACATATATATATACATACATGCATATATATATATAAACACGTATAAATACATACGTACATACATACATA